GAAAGCACTATTTTTAGTGTATTCATAGTTTCCTGTTCCAGAATATGGTACAATTGAAATCATACATTATGTAGCTGTTTTAGATTTTATTCTTTCACTTAGCAATAGGCTTTCATGATTCCTCCAGGTCTGTCCCACTAACAGTGACTGAAAGTTCCTGTTACTCAATATATGTATCAACATTTGATGTTTCAGTGTTTGGGATATCAACCATTCTCCTAGGTGTAGAGTGCTAGCTCCTAGGTGCTTTAATTTGCAATTCTCTTAATGCCATATGACGTGGAACAGTTTTCTTATACATGCTTATTTTCCTTATTTTCTTATACATGCTCAGATTTATTTGCCCACTTTAAATTGGGTTTCTGTTTTCTTATGGTTCAGTTTTCAGAGTTTTGTGCATGTTAAAATACATATCTTTTATCAGATATGTGTTTCACAGAACATTTATCCCTGTCTCTTGCTTGTCTTTTCATCATCTTAGCATTATCTTTTCAAAGTGGAAGTTTCTAATTTTATTAGAGTCAAATTTTTCTCTTTTTTCTTAGATTGCTGATATTTTTAGTGTTTCATCTGAAAAATTCTTCATCAAATCCAAGGTCACCTAGTGTTTGCCTCCATAAATTTGAACAACATTTAAAATTGTGATAAAATGCTTGTGAATAAATGAATCATTTCCCCATGGACAAATGTGTGAGGAAATTAACTAGTGAAACATTTTAGAAAAAAGGCCTCAACATTATAAAAAGTATAATATATTCATACCCTGTTCACACTGACTCAGTTTCCACATTAATATGCATTCCTTATAAGTTATTATATGCATTTATCCCAGAATTTCCACTTAAATATGCTGATTGTATTAATTATAGCCACCAAAGAGAAACACATGTGTGTTCATGAGGTGGAGATTTGTTCAATGTATTAATGTAAAAAATAAATTGGAATTCTAGAGAGTAGTCCAAATGTAAGATAGATGTATATGTGCTATAAGGCAAAGGTTCTGGATGCATTTTAATAAGTGAATATACTGGTTTGTTATGCCCACCACAGCAAAGTACCTCAACCTGAATTACATAAACAGCAGATAGTTACTGTCTCATAATTTTGGAGTCTGATAGTCAAAGAGCAAGGCATTTGCAAGGTTGGTTCCTTCTGAGGGCTGTGAGCGAAGGATGTTTTCCGGGCCTCTCTCCTTGCCTTGTAGATGGCCATCTTCAATCCATGCATGTTCACACTGTCATCCCTCTACTCATATCTCTGTGTCCAAATTTCCCCTTTTAATAATGACTCCCATGATATTTAATTAGGGCCAGTATTCATAACCTCATTTTAACTTGATTGCCTCTGAAATAATCCTATCTCCAAATAATGCCACATTTTAATTTAGAGAGAATTTAACCTATGGTAGTACAAAGGCAACTGGCATATCTATATGTATGTCATTACCCACATATAGTTATCTTTATAGATAAACACATGTAAATATATATGTAATATATGTGTGTATCTAGATTACAACATCTGTCTTTAAAATCTTGAAATCAGCTTCTAAAATTTACACACCACATAGTTAATTGTGAAAACTTCTGAGTAAGAGGCTGAATTTTGGAAGAACTTTGCAAAGGGGAAAAATGTGATTTCTGTGTATTTTTAGAATTTTTGCAGCAATAATAGATGCAGTATTTATTTGTGAGAAAAGCATTAAAGTAAGCCTAATAAAAGAAAGAATAGCAGTATAGTAGTCAGATAAAGTAACAGTAAGCTGATGGAATGAAGAAATTTCCTGAAATTTACATGGCTTAACACATTTGAATTCCTGTTTTAGTTGGCTAAAATAGGGTGTTATGGGCTGAATTCTCTCTCTCCCTCCAAATGCATATATTCAAGTCTTAAGCCCAAGTACCTCAGAATGTCACTGTATTTGGAGATACTTTGAAGAGGTAATTAAGTTAAAATGAGTATTATTAGGGTCGTATTTAATATTACTGGTGGATGTCCTCAGAAGAGGAGATTAGGATACAGAACCACAAACCAAGGGACAACCATATAAAAATTCAGTGAGAAGGTGGCCATCTGCAAGTCAAGGAGATGCCACAGAAGAAATTAACTAGCAAAAATCTTGTTCTTCGATTTGTAGCCTCCAGAAATGTGAGAAAATACATGGGTATTGTTTAAGTCACCCAGTCTGTGGTATGTTGTTATGGCATAATAAACTAATACACAGTGAGTCTTGGCTCTCATGTCACCCAGGTATCCAAGCTGCTTTCAACTTGTAGCTTTAAATCATAACAGATGTTTACTGCTGAAAATAAATGATAGCATTGGAATGATGCACTGGCTGCTGTCTAACTGCAAATGAACCAACTAGGAAGACAAGTTAGACAAGAAGAAGATTGGCAATTGTAATGTCTTGCATAAGCCATTATGGTGTGCAATTAAACGCAACTATTATAATTTATGACAGTAAGTCTTTTAATTTCTTGGAATTGTTTATGAGAAAGCCTGCATTGCCTTGAAATTTTCCAGTTTTTTATTGCAACTACTAGGTGATTAGTGGTTTCAAAGAAAGGATTACAACAATAGGTTTTAAAACAATTCTGTGAGTCTTTGCAGGGAGGGTCAACGTTATTCCCTCAATAGCACTTTGCTACACCATCCTTTTATAACCCATATAATTTCTTTAGGCTGAGAATCCTCCATGCCCTTTGGTGTATGGTAAATAGCCTACCTTGAGAGACTCTGCTACCCTTCTTATAACTGAACATTCTTGAACAACTGCACATGTGCCTGTGGCATGCTGCAAACCAGGATTTTCCTGTGTGGCAGGTACACAGACAAAGGACCATGGAAAGATGGTCGACCATTGTTTTCTTTTCTCATCAGAGCTAGCCAAGAAACCCTTGTCACCTCCTAGGCAGTATTCAGGATTTTGCTGTTATTCTGTTTTTCAGAAATTCAACTCCTTGTAATTTATTTACAAAGTGATTCTCATAGCCTTATCTCATATACCAAGTTTATCAAGGAAGTTTTAGTTTTTGACCACCTAGTATAGGTCATTCATCTGTGTATTTTTTCATGGCCTGTTTCAAACAATGCCATTACAAATATATTAAAATCCTAATACAAATATCAAATATTAGGATGATCTCAAAAACTCTCTTACCTTAGGATTACATCCCTGGTACTGGTATATTATATATGTGGCAGATCAGAATCTAGTCACCACCGTATGTGGGAATATTTTGAGAGTGTGTTGGAGATGCCCAGGGTGGGTATGGAAATGTCACTATCCAAAATGAAAATGTACATCAGAGTGCTGTTATTACACAGAAGCCAGGGGGAGGGATGGATCAGTCAGAGAACTTCTGCAGGGATGAGGAGGCATCTATGTCAGGGGAAGAACTAGTGATTCTGGGCTGTTACACTGGAAGCAGGGCACAGCCTTCACATAGAGAGATTGTAGGGACGAGCTGGTCAGCAGAACAGGTTCGAGAGTTGCTTAAGAGAGCACACAGGAGAGATCAGAAGGAGGGTGCTGTAAAGTGGAAATGTGCTGAGGCTGGACAGAACTACTGGCACCTGGACAGAGTCAGCTCTTAAGAAATCTAGCGTTCAGAATAGGAACAGGTAAACTAAGCCCACAGTGATCCCCAAATTGTATTTATTCTCTTTGTCACCATTCTTCTCCCCACCTACCTTAATACCTTGGACACAGGGTTCATCTTTATGTCACCTGAGAGATGATAGCAAGTATGCAGAGAAGTAGCTTAAAAGGCAAAGGCCTTCCTCAGTCTGGGAAGAGTGGAGATAGTATGGGTCAAGATAAATTCAAAGCAAGGCTCAAGTGCCAGCACTGTCACTTCCTAGCCATGTGGTCTCGCTGAATTTATCAAGCAAGATGAGACTCAGGTTCTTCATCTGTAAAAGGGGTTTCATAAGCCCTGCCTTGTAGAATTGTTGGATGTTTTTGAGTAAAACACCTGGCACAGTGACAAGCATATATTGGAATTTTAACAAATGGCAGTTATCAATATGAATATAACCCCAAGGCTACAACTGCCCTTTAGGAAAAAATTTGCTCTTGTTTTTGTGATCCAAAACATTTCAGAGCCTATGTAGCTGTGTATGTCATGGAGTACCAACTCAACCAAAAATCCGACTTCGTAAATAAAACTCAGTACATTTTCTTTCTGAAATTAAACATTGTATACTTTGGGTAAGTGGAAAATTCCCCAAGTGGAATGCAACTCAATGGTCCTAGAATTTGAGTCAAGGACCAACTCCTTTTCACCTTTCCCAATGCTTGTCAATCCAAATCACTATTTTTATGTATCCTCCACTAAAAATCTATCCCTTGCTTAGAGTTGGCCACGTCATTCAGAGTAACTTAATTAAATGGCCTTTCCATGGAGAGGACTTTGGCTCTCCCACACCAGCTAAGTGACTGCCAGCCTAGAGGCTTCTGGGCAGCACTTCAAAGGATTATCACTCTATTTCTCAGGAAACCCTCGAAGATGGTGTGTATCAATCACCTAGTCCTTGCACTGTGTTCAAGCTCACCAGTACAATAGTCACAGGACCCCTTCCATTACTTCCCCATGTGGAGATTCCTCTCTGCTTCATCCTCCACCCAGAACCAACTTCTCAGAGTAGTTTTCCATTCCAGGCTCTTCTCTCACCCTTTGAGAGTCTGGTCCCTGCCACCATTCAGCTTCATAACTACCAGCTCCCACAGAGGCAACTGCAGTTTTCCAAAGCCCCAAGCTGTCTTAGGTCAGGATCTTTATACTTGGAGGCTCGCATCTGGATTCTCACCTCCCCAGCCTTCTTGTTATTTAGACTGTAGAGAACATCTTACCACCTTCTTGATATGGCTTCTGCTCCTAGATTCTACTGTTTTATGGGTAGAGATAAGTCATGCTTTTATTAGTATCACCACTACTAACAGGTACTCCCACAAGCAAATAGTAAAAGAATGCTCAGCAAATAAAGGACTCAGTGCGGCTTTCTTTTATTGAGAGTTAGTTTCTGCTGCTTTCTTCAACAAGCTAAGCAAAGCCAGGTATACATCTTTAATTTTCAAGAACAAAACACCAAGTGGGACAGGGAAATGCAAATATTGACCATCCTGTATTTTGTTCCACTATTTAACTGCTGAGTTATTGCACATTGTAAGAAAATGCGTATTACAATACCACACTATATTGTTACAGATCACAGAATAAGAGAGAAGGTATTTCCTTTTTTTTTTTTTTTTTGTTTGCAAAATATCAAACTGTTACTCTTAAACCAGATGAACAGCAATACATATGTGACTAATATTCAGAAATGAAGGTTCTGAAGCTAACTACCTGCTACTCAAAGGGAGAACATTTAAAAAGTACCGAAAAACAGGAAAATCTCTACATTACCAATATGGGACTGAAATGCAAAGAACACCGTTCCTTGAGCCCAACCTGGCCCTACACTACCTAGAACCTCGACTGCCTTCTTCAAACCCAGAGGGAAGAAACTGCCCTAGACTTCACTCAAAAGAGGAGTGGATGCTAAATGTCACTGAGGCTTTCACTGGCCTTGTCAGTGGCATCATCTTTGGTGGAAATTATGGCCTGGGCTCTCTCTCCCACATTTTTCAAAGCATCCTTGTACCAGGATGGAAAGGAATTTGGGACAGTGCTGTTCAGCTTGGCCAAAAACTCTAGTACTTTCCTCTTGCTGCTTTCTGAATGGGCTCTCGGACCCCATAGGAAGTCATAATATGGAGGAGAAGTGTTGGGCACCTGCCGATATTCCAGGTATTGTTCCTGCACCCAAACTTTAGTGAGAAGCTCCCTGGGCTCCCCATAGATGAAGTGCTCCCTCCCAGCATACACCCCTATTGCATTCAGCACTTCCCAGATGACTTCCTCACAGGCACAGCCGTCCTTTATGAAGATTATACTCAGAATAAGAACCAGGAGGCTGTTCTTAGGCATGCCCTGGTCATCACTACTACCCTTGTCGGTGGGGTCTACTGTGTTTGCAAATGCATATAAGTGGTCAGGGTCCACTTCTATCAGGGCAAGGCCAAAAAGAAGCTCCATGAACTCCCGTGCTTTCTGAAGTATTATAGGAAAGTAGTCTTGGTAGCTGAGGACAATCATCAGCATCTCTGCCTCTGTTACAGGCTCCTTTGCTTCATATTTGAGAAGCAGGAACTGCACTACCTCAGCCACCTTTTCATCTAGTGTATTTGTGAACAAGGAGTCACTGTCTGACAGGCCCTGACAAGTACTTGGATCCTCCTCTTTCTGGCTGCTGGACTCTCCACTGACTGGGCTCCATGAGGCAGAGGAGGAGGAGGAGCTGATAGGATTCTGAGGAGGACTCTGGGGGCTACCCTGTGAAGGACTCTGTGGAGTACTACTGGGAGTGCTTGGGGAAAGACTTGACATCCCAGCAGACAGCTCCTCCCCCTCCTCCTCTTCCTCCCCCTCCTCCTCTTCCTCCCCCTCCTCCTCTTCCTCCCCCTCCTCCTCTTCCTCCCCCTCCTCCTCCTCCTCCCCCTCTTCCTCCTCCTCCCCCTCCCCCTCCTCCACCTCCCCTCTTCCCCTTCCCCCTACCTCCCTCTCCTCCCCCTCTTCTTCCTCGTCTGAACTCGGAGAAGAGGGTAAGGAGGGGGAAAGTGGAAATAAGTAGGTATAGGAAGAGGACATGGAGGAAGCTTCCTCATCTGAGGGAATCTCTGCATCTGCCGAGTCCTCTATGGCACCTGGGTTCTGGGGGTCTTTCCCATCGCTAGGGAATGGATGGGGAGACATAACTTCTTCAGGAGCAGCAGGTAAACCTATCAACAGGGATATGGATGATGGGATCCAACAGACCTGTAAAAGAGAGTGACAGTGTGAGTGACCTCAGCTGAGAAACACACCCATGATGGCTCTGACAAAGGCCAACTTACAGCTCTTCTCGTAAGGTGGTGCTCTAGGGCCTCACAGGTTGCCTGTCTTCCTAAGGGGTTTGTCCCCTGGTAACCTGCAGGAAGATGTGAAAAAGCACCTCAGGGCACAGTTGACAGGCAGAGCCTGGGGCACCAGGAATGACAGTATGTGGTTAGGGCTGGGTGCTGTTGGACCTTCTCTGTTTATAGTGGGTAGGGCACTTGGTACACAGGCTGTGCTCTCACCTTGACTGCTGGCACTGCCTGGATCTCCTCTGCTGTGCTGACTTTTAGGAAGTGCAACTCAGACCCAGTTCGTCACTACCTGGTTCCTGGAGCACCTGCAAGAGGAATTGAGGGAACGCCTGTGGCTAAAGACTGCAGCTGGGGCTGGCCAGATTCCCAGAGCCCCACAGTTCTAGGGTTCGTGGCCCCCTCAGAATTTAACTAGCACTGTCACATTTTCTCAGGTCGTGCCACGTCCCCTACCACTCTGCTGGCCTGAGGCAAAACCTCAGAGCAACCTCCACATCCCTGAGAGGAGAGGGAGGTAGTGAGGAGGCAGCCACATCCCATACTCTACCACGGGGGCAATCGGGGCAGCCTCACATCTGCTCTGAAGCACATATGACACTTGAGTCCTCTCTCTTATCCCCAGCAGGCCTGGGAATCTTCCCTCTGCCAACTAGAGGCAGCTGCCTCTGCTGACTTGCCGTGGGACCCTCAGACCAAGGCCTCCCCGTTCCTTACACCCTTCACTCAGAAATGAGGGGGCTGCGGCTCAGCCTGAGCCGACTGGGGAGCTCTGCCAGGGCTGATACGAGGGGCAGGGTCGGAATCTGTCCTCAGGAATGGGGGTTCCCTCAGTCCTCCTCAAAGTCTTCCTATTTATTCCCTACAGGGCCGGCACCTCCTCCCTTCTTCTGTAGTGGGGATGCGTCCCTCAGCTCTCGGCAGCCATTTTCCTGTTCGGGACCTACAAGTCCCACGGCAGGGGCAGGGCGGGCTGGAGCTTCTTTTCTCTATGGTGGGTGGTCCCTCAGTTCTCCCTCAGGCCCTGAGGACTGGCCAGCTCTAAGACTCTTCCCTCCACTGACCTGAGTCGAGTCTCCTCACAAAACGCCTCACGATGTTCAGACTCCCAAGATGGAAGTTGGGAAAGCACATCCGGGAACCCTGCAGGGCTGACGGAAGGGGTGGCCTGGGACTCGGGGCGTGGGGCATGGGGCGCGGTTTCCTCTGGGCGTGACCTCCTCTCTGCAGAGGAACCACCCCCCCAACTCTCCACCTCTTTTCCATCGCTTCCTTTCCACCTCCGAGCCGCTTTCCACCCCTTCCTGTTCACGCCGAAAGACTTGCGGACCTCTTACCTCCCACCTCTACCGGACATCCCACCCTCATTTTACTAGAGGTGACAATAAGGAGTGGCTGTGTGCAGCCTGTGCTTCCCATCCTTATTGGAAAGTCACCGTCCTTCCACAGAGTTGTGTTCTTGTTTTTTGTCCAGTCCTGGGGCTCCTCCCTCTGTGTAACTGACGCTGCCATCCTCAGAGAAAACCTCCCGTCCAGCTGACTCCCAAAATAGAAGTCAGAAAGTCGTACATCTGGGTACCCTGATGGGCTCCTCCAGAACTGGCAGCAGGCACAGGGACAGGGGAGGGGCACTGCTAGCCTTGGGTGTTCCTTTCCAGCCTTCTTGAGAGACTGTGTCTTCTGGCTGAAATGGGGTAGGAATGCCCCTCTGTCTTTCTTAAGGCATTACTTCTACCAGAGCCTATACTCCTTCCTTCTCCTGTCCAGAGAGCAGCATTTGCTCCTTCAACCTCTAAATTCAATTCCAAGTTTTTCCACTTTACTTCTGTGGGTGAAGTTAATATCATCTCTCATTTAGCCTATGTTGAAGGTTTCCTTATTGTTGGTCCTTTTCCTATCCTTGTCCCTCAAAAAACCATTATCTTTTCAGTAGCCCGTGGGCCTTTTAAAAACCAATACACGATTAAAGTTTTAAATGCACACATTAGATTTAACTAGCATGAGAAGTTATATGTATTTTGGAAAATGCATGGGGTCCCATATCTACCAACCAAGTATCATACTGACCAGTTCCATCTGCCTAAAATTCTGTGCATCATGTTTGAACTCAATCACTGCACTTCTACAGAGCTCCTAACAACTCTATTCTGTTTTCAGTTCCTATAGTTTTAACTTTTCCAATTTGTCATATGCCTAGGTTCCTAAGATACTGATTTAAAAGTGTGCCTGTACTATTTTTTATCACAACTAGAAGGAATGAGAATGTGTGTTATTCTATATCCTCTCTCACATTTAGTATTTTAGATTTTCAGGTTTTAGCCATTCTCATAAGCATATATTGAAATCTTCTGTGGTTTTTTGTTTGCATCTTCTTAATGACATATGACATTGGTCATCTCTTTATATGCTTTTTTTTCCCATTTGCTATATCCCCTTTGGTAAAGGGTCTATTAAAATCATTTGCATCTTTTTAAAGACAAATAAACTTCATTTTTAGAGCATTACTAATCCAAAAGTACAAAGGGAAAACTTCATCAGAATTAGAGTTCCTACGTATCTACACCACCGGCCCTGCCCTGCTCCTTGCACGTGTGCACGCACGCGCGCGCGTGCTCACACACACACACACACACACACACACACAGTATCTCTTTCTATTTACATTTTGTATTATTATGACATGTGTGCTACAACGGATAGACCTGTATTAATACCTCATTGTTAAGACCAGGGTTTACATTAGGACTCATTCTTAACGCTGGGGATATTATGGATTTTAATAAGTGTGTAATGACAAATATTCATCATTATAGTATCACACAGAATTATTTCACCATCCTAGATCTCCTGTGTGTTCCACCTAATTATCAGTCCCCTTTGACCCAGCCCTGAAACCTGGACCCCTAGAAACCACTAATATTTTTAGTGTATTCATCTTTGCCTGTTCCAGAATATAGTATGGTTGAAATCATATGTTATGTAGCCTTTTTAGATTTTCTTCTGTCATTTAGCAATTGATGTTTCAATGTTTTGGATGTCAGCCATTCTTCTGGGTGTAGAGTGTTATACAGCCAGTGTGGGGTGGCACCTCCTCTCTGTGGAGGATTCACCCCCACCTCTCTGCCTCTTTCCACCCTTTCCTGCCCTCCCCTCCAGCTCCATCTACTTTTTCTTGCCCACATCCCTACTCCATTCCACCCATTATGGTTCACCTCCAGCCCCTTTCTATACATTCTTGCCCATCTCCCCACCCCGCACCCCTTCCTGCCCACTTTCCTACCCAATTCCACCCATTATGGCTCACCTCTTCTCCCCACAGCACCCATTCCTGCCCACCTCCCCAACCCCTTCCACTTCTTCCTGTCCACCTCCATGTGGCTAGCCTACTTCTTCCTTCACCTTCCTGCCTCCTTCAGCCCTTCCTGCTCACCTCATGGGCCCCCTTCACCTTTTCCTTCTCACATCCCATGCCAACCTCTTTCTTCCCACCTCTCTGCTTTCTCCCTGCCACCTCCTTTCTCCAGAGATTGCAGCAGGTTGTGACTGGGCATGGTCTGTGCCTCCCCTATGTGTCCTTCCCCTGAGTTCTCTTCCATTTAGTTGGCCAGCCCTGGGGCTCCTCTCTGCTTAACTGAAACAGCCCTCCACAGAGAAAACTTCCCCTCCAGCTGATGCCCAAAATGGAAATCAGAAAGTTGTACATCTGCGGACCTTGATGGGGTCCTCCAGAGCTGGCAGCGGGCACAGGGACGGGGAGGGCCACTACCAGCCATGGGTATTCCCTTCCAGTCTTCCTGAGGGGCTGTGCCTGGACTCCTGATACTGCCTGGCTGCCTGCCCCTGTGCTTCAGAGTCTTTCACCTCTAAACAAGCCCCTCCCATCCCTGAGACCAGCAAGGTAGAAGAGAGGGAGAATCACATCCGTCCACAGTGGGATAGGGCCTCCAAAGCCCATGGCAGGGCCCTCTGTCTGAAATGGCATGGACAAGGCTTTCTGTCTTCCTGCAGTTACTATTCCTGACAGGGCCTCGGAGTTCCTTCTCCTGCTGTCCAGAGACTATGTTCTTCAGATCAAGGTTCCCATTTCCATGAGACCCACCCCCTCCCCCAAGAGGAAGTAAAGAGCACTAGCATATCTGCCTGAGGGCCCTGCCCAAGGCCTCTCAGGGATGAAAACAGGAGCTGGTTTTGTGTGTCCTTCTGTTTCTTGGGAGGGATGCCTCACCAGTCCTTCCTCTGTGTCATCCTGGGGATGCCTAGAATGGCCCAGTTCCCTTCCCCTCTCATGATCTGAAGTGAGACTCACTTGAGCACGGTCTTCTCCTCTTTCTACCCTCTAAGAAGTCAGGGGATGCCGCAGTGGGCCACCATGCCCCAGGGATGACAGCAGGTAGGAAGCTGGATTCTGTGGATCCTCCTCTTTGTGGGCAAGGAGTCCTGCAGTTCTCCCTCAAAGACCTCGTCTGACTACTGTTTGGTCCTGGGTCTCCCTGTCCTTCCCATGATGGCAGTATGACACAGGGAAAAAATAATGTGACTTTACCCTGAAGAAAGGAGAAAAAACACTACATTGCCATGGTGATTAAATTAACATCATCAGTGACAAATTATGTTTGTCCTATGTACGGCAGGTATGATGTATGTATGTCCTATATATGGTGGATATGGAATATTTGGGAACTTTTGGCATTATCTTAATAATTTTTCCATATATCTAAAATTAACCTAAAATAAAAGTTGTTTTTAAGAAAACAATGTGATAATGTTAGCAAACTAGGTAAAGTTTTATTTAAATCTTAATAGCAAATATTACGCTTACCTGGGAAAATTTAAAACTTCTACTTTGAAATTAGTAACTAAACAAGAATTCCTGCTAGAATCAATTTCTATTCAATTGTTTAATAAAGGTAGTAGCCAGTGCAGTAATATAAAGCAGATATAAAAGCAATAAGGATATTAATGTAGAAAATAGTGTTTCCATGAGTAACAGATTATTAGACTGCTTATGAAATTAATCAGAACTAAAGAAAAGCACCTTAATATATAAATCATTACATGTGGTTGCCAGGTAAAAGTTCAGTATGTAGAAATAAACCTTGTTTTTTTTTTGTAGGAGCAAAGAGTATGAAAAAAATAGTAAGCAAAGTGTAACTTGTAACATATCATACCAAAATATCAATTTAAATAAATTTACCAATAAAATTTAATAACTTTACAGAAAATAATAAATATAGCATTTAGATTGACTGATGAGCCCCTACATACATTCATACATTTATGTTTTTTTCAATTTTAATTTTTAATTTGGGGGGTATATTATAGGTGTATTTTTTTATGGGTTACATGAGATTTTGATACAGGCATGAAATATGTAATAATCATCACAGGGTAAATGGGGTATCCATTAAATCAATTATGTATCCTTGGAGTTACAAACAATCCAATTATACTCTTACGTACTTTAAATGTACTATTATTTTTTCACTATTATCACCCTGTTGTGCTAGCAAATACTAGCTCTTATTCATTGTTTCTATTTTTTTCTCCCCATTAACTCTCCCAACTTTCCCCACACCCTCTCACTACCCTTATCATCCTCTGGTAACCATCCCTCTATTCTCTATCTCCATGAGCTCAACTGTATTGATTTTTAGCTACCACAGATAATGAGAATATGCAGTTTGTCTTTTCTGCCTGGCTTATTTCATTGAGCATAATGACCTATAATTTTGTTCATGTGCTGCAAATGACAGTAACTTGTTCTCTTTTATGGCCAAATAGTACTCCATTGTGTATATGTACTATTGTGAATAGTGCTGCCATAAAAATGAGAATGCAGATATCTTTTAGATATACTGATTTCCTTTCTTTTCTGTATCTAGCAAGCAATGGGATCGCTGGATCACATGATAGCTCTATTTTTAGTATTTGGAGGAACCTCCAAACTGTTCTCCATAGCAGCTGTACTAATTTACATTCCCACCAACAATATGCAAGTGTTTCCTTTTGTTCACATCCTCACCAGCATTTGTTATTGATACCAAAGCGGGGCAGGGAAGTGCTGGGTAGAGGAGGGCCTGGTCCTTGGCTAGGGCTCCATTCCTGGGCCTGTGCCCGTGGACCTAGGTGAGGACAAGCATTTCTGTTTTCCTGCCCAAATGTTGCATTTCCCAAGACCACCCTGGCCTGCCATGCCCTCATCCTGTG